CTCTCTCTCTCTCTCTCTCTCTCTCTCTCTCTCTCTCTCTCTTTCTCTCTCTCTTTCTTTCTCTCAAGCGTTCAACCGAGTCTGCTGTCGCGCGGGCTTACTCGACATAAACGATGTCTTGATACTTATTAACTTTATGTAATGCAACGTGTACTCACGCTGAGACGTAGGCAAAGATTGCAATATCCTTTGCATGGTATACCGCGACTTCTCCTTCAGTCCAATTTTCAGGAACGCTGTACCGCAGTCCACCCATGTCTCAGGGTTTTGCTTGAATTTGCCAGTTATAGTGGCGATCAACTTCTCCAGCTCGGCCTGCCTACCGGCGTCCACATGCATGTCCAGCATATGCGTGTATACCTTCGGTGCGTAGTTTGCCTTCACCGCCTCCTGGAACACGTCGTTCAGGGACTCGGGCGTGCCGTACCTGGACTCTAAATTGAGCCAAGCTTTCCACATGTTCAGACGCTCGTTTTCTTCGTTTTATGTAGAAAAATAAACCCGCGCAGATTGGATTTGGTCAACCTGAATATTATCCCGTTAGACTCCCTGTATAGTACTTTAGCCTTTTTAATAACATCACCCACTTTCAGCCTCTCCTCTTCGGACACGTCAACTTCGCGGAAGTTGATTGTCTTGATAGCCCGTCTCGCGGCCGACCTCGCTTTGTCGATCTCTGTGGCTTGCAAATGGTACGCCATATATTGCAGCCACACCAACGAGCTGTCCGGGCTGGACTAGTCTGTCAAATTGGTCGATGGAGTTGGGCACCTGATTGCTCGCTAAAGCCTCTTCCCGCTGGCGAATCTCGCGTTCCTTCCGCCGTTCCTCTTCCCGACGTTCGGCTGCGCTCAGCTTCTTCTTCTTTAGCTTCGGCTCGTCCGTGGTCTTCTCTTCATCATCGCTGGACGTCTCGCTGACAGCTACTACAGCCGAGCCTGTTTTATTGTGCCAATTAAATCCGCATTCTGGAATATGTGATCTTTTTGTCGGCAACTTATCTTCTGCATCACTTTCGTCGGAAGAGTGGATGAATCCGCTGGTCTCACTTTTCTTTAGACAGGCTGTTTTATCGATTTTACTTTTGAGTTTTCTGTCGCTGCCAACACCATCATCAGTCGTTGTTTCCCTCTTCGGTTTTTTAAGCATCATGCTCGTTGAGGCAGTATCTTGTTGCTCGGACATTTTTCTCTTCAATTTTTTATTTGTGCTAGACAGCGGCTGTGTCTCTTTTTTTGGAGTTTCGAACGCAGATTTCAGCATTCCAATCGGAACGATACCGCACTGATTTCTCGCCATTACCACGTACAATCGGATCTTAGCGTGCACCGTGTAAGGCGTCAAGTCAGGAGAGAGATCGTTCAGGTGTCGACGGACCGGCAAAGCCACTAAATATCCTGAACCGTGACGTTTCACGAGGACGATTAGCAACCAGTTGCTGATCATCAGGATCTCTCCTCTCAGCACAAGCTTGTCAGGAAGCTCCGGTAGTTTTCTTTGCTTGGAGCTGATCCCGTTCACGATCCTTGGTAACAACGACACGTCCACGAAGTCGTGGACATAGTTCTTCCACAAAACTGTACCGAACACCTTATCTCCGACTTTAGGCTCGACGGTGTAATGATCCTTGCGCACTACGCCCGTCAGTTTATTATCTAGTCGAAGTACGAGACCGTGGTCGGTGATCTTCTCGATCTCGCCTGTGACTTTATGACCCAAAGTCACCAACGAAATCGGTTTGTTCTCGTAAAACGCATTAGTCGCCAGCTCCGACAATTTATTGAGGTATAAGCTCAAGACATCCACCGCCGACAGCATCTTCATCCCGTGCTCGACAGAGCTCTCCCACACGTCTTTCAACCCCATCGTCAGCGTCAATTGTTTCTCTCGTTTGTTAATAGCCGTAATTTTAACGAGCAATATCTGATTCACACGCAACAGCTCGAAGTCGCTAATATTCTTGTATGAGATAAATCCGAATGTGGAGTAATCCTCGACGGGCAAGATAACTCTCACGCCGTCCTGCGAGATGTCCCTGATCGTGCACGGAATGCAATCCCCTATCTTCAGCGTGTGAAAGTTTCTGTACTGCTCCTGTGTCACATAAGTGCGTGACATTATCACGCTCGGCTGTGTGGCAAAGACGTAGGCCGAGATAGTGTCGCCAGGAGTGCATTTCGACGCGAGTAGACCGCCGATTTCTATGCACGGAGACATGTGACCGGCCGGTAAGAAGCCAACCGTGACCTCATTGTCGGTCTTACGTACTCTCAGATGTATTCCTTCCATGGACGATTCCATTATTACTCCTTCGATCAGTTCCCCGATCTTCATGTTAATGGACTGTTGTTGTTTCTGTTCTCCCATGATTATTCTGAGTTTCATTTTATCCTCGTCCTTCTCGATCGAGTCGATCAGCACCGTGACGGTCTGTCCCAATGTGTAATTCCAATTCATATCGGACGTGTTGCTGTCCAATACAGTGCGTGGGACCCATCCTTTAATGTCGCCGTAAAATCTCACCAATAAGCCGTTCTTGTTTATCTTAGTGATTGTACCGTGATATTCCTGTCCACATCGCGCCTCACAGATATCGTGCATAACTGGTAGCTCGCTCTTTACTAACGACTGCTTCAACGTGAACCTTATGTTGCGTTTATCGTTGTTAATACTTAACACTCTCGCTTCGACGTTATCTTGAATTTGCAACACGTTTAAACCACTGTCGGATACATGTTCCGGTGCGACAATTCCGTAAATCTTTCCTGCTTGCACCTGTACGAAGCCAGACTTCGTGTCAACTCTTGTAACCTTGACAGTGAGAATATTACCGATTTTAAGGTCGCCGACTGAAAAATATTTTTGCTGCAAAATTTCATTCTCCATTGTACAGACATAAAGATGTTCCATCCAGTTATATGAGATTATCCTGCATCTATGCACAGAATCTTGTTTAAAGTTTGTCAGGATTTTGTCAAATGGCACATCGGTTCTATGTAGAGAAATGAACCCGCGCAGATTAGATTTGGTTAACCTGAATATTATCCCGTTAGACTCTCTGTATAATACTTTGGCATTATTAATAACATCACCCACTTTCAGCTTCTCTTCTTCGGATACGTCAGTTAGCAGACTGAAGTATGCGAATTTCACAGTCGGCATTACATACAATAATGTGCCGGTCACTTCTGTGTCATCCACATACTTAGATAAAGAACTGTCCAAGTAAATTTGATTTATGTATCCAATGTTATCTTTCCCAAACTTAACTTGCAAGCCATTCGAAAGCACTCTCGTTACGCGAAGTGACAATTTTGTTCCTGGCATTAGGACATCTAAAGATTCTATGTCGTGTATGCTGACACTGTTGACTATTTTCTTCTTAGCTGATAATGTGATAACAGAGACCTGATCTACTGTTTTTATCTCCTTGATGGCGCACATGATTTGATTACCTGGAACTGTACAATTTATAATATTAATATAATATAATGTTGAATTACATTATAAATTTGCTGTACAAATTTAATTATACTTACAATACTCCTTCTCTTTGTTGATATACTTTGTAGCAAGGAATGCTCTAACATTAGCTATGCCTGTGTCAACCACATAGCCATGATCCTCTATACTCTTAACAGTACAAACTATCTTTATACCTTTCACAAGATAATTATTATCAACATTTTGATTTATTAACTGAGGCTCCAGAGATAAACTATATAGCCATTTTCCATTAGGATTCACACTTTTAACATAACATACTACATAATCACCGACATTGTACAAGTCTGGTAGAGATTTAAACTCATCGGTTTGAACATCCTTTGAGTTAATTATGTTCTGTAACAGGTTTGTGTAAGATTCACCAAGATCTGTGACTTGCACACATCCCAGAAGTCCACCTGGTATAGACACAATTAATTCGTATTCAGTTACTTCAGAAATCCGACCAAGAATTATCATTCCTTCACATATTGTTGCATTAGATAAACGTTTTGCAGTATTGGCAACAAAATTTGTTTCTTTCACAATTGTGTCACTATATTGTTTATTAGATTTACTTTTATGTTTTTTATTAGGTTTAGGCTTCTGATCAAATACCTAAGATAGAAATATTATTTTATTAATTATAATTACATAATTATATCTTTGTATACAAATTTTTGAAATTTTTACATAGAACACCAAAATTTTTTAATAAAAAACCAAAATATTATATTAGTTTTAAATACAAAAATCTATAAATGGTTATTAATTTAACATCTTAAATCACATAAAATAAGAACAGGTAAAACAAGAATAAGTTTCTTAAATACATACCACATTTGAAGATTTCTTAACTTCAAGTTTCTTTCCTCCTCTAGGAAAGCTTTTCAATGTCATCTAAAAGTATTTTAAGTAATAATAAGATATTAATTAGAAAATAATATTAATATAGGTTAGGTTGTAATAAATTTGGGTAAATATGCAGTATTACGCCCCTATCATGCATTTTTTTTCAAACTTTGTAAATTTGTATATTTTTATGCATAGAATTGATTTCTGAAAACGAAAATTGTCGCTCACTTTTCGTTTTCTTGTTTTTTTATTTTTATGTTTTATGATGTTGGTAAGTAGGAAAGGCAAAGAATAGTTCATACATGCTTTTCTCTGCTCTAATCTCAAAAATGGGTGCAGAAGGCGCATCAAATAGCGTGAAAATCGGTATCGGCCAAAATGTATGGTGTAGTCGCTCTCAGGTTTCTTTCTAGTATACGTAACATCAAAGAGGAACATAAAAGCGGCCACAGGCCTGATTTCAACGGCCAGAGCTAAGCGCATTTTAGATAATCGATTTAGAGAATAATCGACTTCGAAAACATCAGAAAGATTAATCGATTTTTAATAAAATAAGAATCGATGCTTGATTTATCGATCGATGTTTGCCCATCCCTACTCACCACTGATGAGCGACCGCGCGACGTAGCACATGAAACGAGCTAGCGGCGATCTTATCGCAAAGCTAGATCATCTCTCGTCAGTCTCATCTTTCACGCGTTGCGTTCTGCGTAATTTTGGAAGGAAAATTTGGAAAATGGATAATATAAAACAATAAATAAATATACAAAATTTATGTATACAACACGTTAAATATTTGATTTAACATAGGAGCACGATATACAGAGTGGGCCATTTTATTCAATACACGCAAAAATCTCAAAAAGTTATTCAATACACGCAAAAATCTTCATATGCTACGTTCGCGGTCGCTCATTAGTGGTGAGACAGGAACAGAGCGATTGGACCTCTGTCCTTTTCTAACTTACTATTATTATATAGAAGTTTACTCTGCGAAAGTGCGTCTGAGTGCGCCTGACGGACGTAGTTTGGCGCATTTTGGTTAAATGGCGTATTAACCAAAATTGGCCATTTAACCAAAATGCGCCAAACTACGTCCGTCAGGCGCACTCAGACGCACCTTCGCAGAGTAAACTTCTATATAATAATAGTAAGTTAGAAAAGGACAGAGGTCCAATCGCTCTGTTCTTGTCTCACCACTAATGAGCGACCGCGAACGTAGCATATGAAGATTTTTGCGTGTATTGAATAACTTTTTGAGATTTTTGCGTGTATTGAATAAAATGGCCCACTCTGTATATCGTGCTCCTATGTTAAATCAAATATTTAACGTGTTGTATACATAAATTTTGTATATTTATTTATTGTTTTATATTATCCATTTTCCAAATTTTCCTTCCAAAATTACGCAGAACGCAACGCGTGAAAGATGAGACTGACGAAAGATGATCTAGCTTTGCGATAAGATCGCCGCTAGCTCGTTTCATGTGCTACGTCGCGCGGTCGCTCATCAGTGGTGAGTAGGGATGGGCAAACATCGATCGATAAATCAAGCATCGATTCTTATTTTATTAAAAATCGATTAATCTTTCTGATGTTTTCGAAGTCGATTATTCTCTAAATCGATTATTTTTTCTTCGATGTATAATGTACGATGTACCAAATTTTATTACTAAGACCTTTTTCTCATGATAATTTCACTAATGGCGAATTTGATTGGAAGCACTAATGTGCACCAGTGCACACTGAGGCCAATTAATAGTTTTATTAATAAATCCGAGATATTAGTTGTATATAGAGTTTAAAACCCCTTAGAGAATGCCAGGCAACAAGCAGTAGAAAGAGGGAATAGCCAATAGAAACCGACGCACATGTGAAAGTACAGTTTTTCATTGGCTATTTCTTATTCCTGTTACATGTCGCCTGACATTCTGGGTGCTTTCCAGTTGCTTAACACATCTTAAGACACACGTACACAAAACCACAATTTATAGGTTATATATTATTTAAAATATCTGGTAAGATAATATACAACCAATAAACTGGTTTTGTGTAACACAATGTACGCAACTGGAAAGCACCCTCTGTAAAGTCAGAATCAGACTACGCATTGGAGATTAATAACGTGTTCAACTGGCCCTGGGTTAATCGCTCCGAGAAAGATTAATGACGTCATAAGTCTCTACTAGCCAATCATAAAGCTTATAAGTACTTGTTCGACCAATAAACGTAGGCTGAATAACCCAGAATGGGTTAACCCAAGGCCAGTCGAACACGCTATTAATTTGATATTATTTTATGAAAAACAAAAAAATTAAAACGATTATCAATATTTTTAAGAAAATATCAATTATATAAAAACGATACTTTTGATAATCGATTAAATCGAAGTCGACAATTTTTTTTAGCCATGCCCAACCCTAGTGGTGAGACAAGAATAGAGCGATTGGACATCAGTCCTTTTCTAACTTATTATCATTATATGGAAGTTTACACTGCGAAAGTGCGTCTGACGAATGTAGTTAGGCGTATTTTGTTAGATGGCGTATCTAAAATGCGCCTAGCTCTGGCCGCTACAATCAGGCCGGTGGTCGCTCTCATGTTTCTCTCTAATAACATAAACTATAGCTTTTCACTAAGGCCGGTATTCATAGTTTGATCTTATATTTAAGATCATCTTAAGTACTGTCTTAAGATGTCATGAACCAATCACAGAGCCGTATTCGCATCTTAAGACATTACTTAAGGATGCTTACAATAACAAGAGTAGAGCGAGTGAAGTTGCCAATACATGGGAGCGTTCCAGCGTCGAGCGTTAAAGCATTAGCCAATCAACGTAACAAATTCCAGAACTGGAATTCCAGAACTGGAATTCCAGAACTGTGCATGAGCACACTGTCCCGACATTAATCCGATAATTCGCGTCGAGAGCGTGTAAAAATAATTAGCCAATTCGCGTACGTGTCACAATCTTAACATCAATCGATACACATGCGTTAACAGCCGTATTGATAATTGTTGCACGGACACGACCTTCGTAATATTCGATAATCGCACGCGCGCCTAATAACGTAACACGGGTGCGCTCGTTGTTTTCCTAACCGCAAGTAGCGAAATACGGCGAGCTTAATTCGAGCTTCTGCTTGACCTCGTCTCTCCTACTCACTCACTCTTTCTGTCTCGAGTATATCGCCTTACCTTGTCCTCCTTTCTTACGGAACACCTGAGGATTATCATAGGAAAGAAACGATGCCGCGCCAGTCGCCAAAGTCGATTATTGTGTTTACATGGATTTACTAAGGTTGAGGCAGAGAGGGAGGAGGCTTATGTGCTCACGACTTATCGATTTGTTTAGTTTTTTACTAGCACGAAGCAGCTGAACCACGCGATTAACTGTACACAGATAAGAATACGGACATGCTTTTTGAGCATCACAGAGAAATTCGTTGCAGCGAACATTACTTGGCACAATGCTCCGGAACACATTACGCACACACGCGCACGCACACACACACACACATATTAGGAAGAACTGTTTACCTAATTGTGAAGTAGGAATCACGTCGGACGCACGTGGCGGTGTTCGTCATGAGCGAAACTTTGCGACGAATCGCGTGAACTCGATATTTTGTCGAACACGACGGCTACGCGATAACCTAAATTTTTTTTGCGAGGGAATCGCAAAGCAAGTCCGCAAGAGACGATCTCAACGATCCTTCATAATCAAAAACACGAATTACACGTAAATACAAACGTTAGGATCGTCCTTAGCCGAAGGTCAATGTTGTTCCGCTTCGCGTCCTACCAAAATCGCGAACGTCCATGCGGCAAGTCAATCGTTATTGGGGAAGAAAGAAGCAAAAGAGAGAAAGAGAGAAAACAGAGAAAGAGGGAGAATAAGTAAGAGAGAGACACACAGAGAAAGAGGGAAAGAAGGTCGATGAAAATACATCGACGACGGGGAGCAGGAAGAACGGGAATGTAGCTCGCAACCGTGCGAAAAATCCGGAAAAACGACTCGACTCGACGCATTCGTCCGTTATCGAGACACACAACCGTGACACCTAGCAACCGCACGTGTTTCCTCGCTC